GATTTTCAGTGGTTTTTCTAGCTATTTCTCAGCAAAAAAAAACATATATTCGTTGAAAATCGATTATAATTGAGGAAACTTGATGAATAAATTAACGTTTTCAAAATTTCTTACGGTAGTTTTCGTGGTGAGATATCGGAGCCGTCAAGTTGTCGGATCTTCGGCCAGCACTTGATTTTACACTGATTGCCATAATAGAGTGAAGATTCGGGTCGAGACTTTTTTTGCAGATGTCGCTGCGCCTTCAAAAACGTTTTGCTGTGTACTGAACCTTTTTTGAATATATGACCTCCGACAATGTTATTTCCAGAAAACACCCTGACCCTCGATGAGACTATATCCAACCATCTCAAATTGGGAAACATCCTCGATGCTCTTTTTATCAACTCAAAATTATTCAAAAAAGAAATTAGTGGTGAAAAATTGTTGACTTCTGTCCATGGAATGCCTGATGTGAAGCCGCTTCGGAAACTTCTTCAATTCAATGAGAAGAATTTCATGGCGTCGATAGAGAAGATTGAATCGGAACTATCGGAACTATCGAAAAAGTCATTGGATATTGAACCATTCGATTTGACTGCCCTCGAGAACAGCCTGCCAAAAATCTCTTTCTTCAATTCGACGATTCTCAACTGGATTGGAGAATCGACTCTTGAGAAGTATATTCCTGATGCAATACATTGGAATTACTTTGTTTTGATTTCTATACTTATTGACGGAGCCCCCAAAAATATCCCTGAATTCTTGCAAAAATTCAAAAAGAAGGATGTAACGGAGATCGATCTACTAGATTCTCTATGGATGATTGGCTTTGTGAATTTAGTGAATCTCCGAGAGACAATCAAAGAAGAATTAAGGAACGAGAAGAAACAGCGTAAACTTTGGGATGATTTGAAATGGAAGATGGAGTACGGAAAGAGGTTGTTCGAGAATCAGCCACACTTTGATGGTCTGTTAAAAGAGCTCAATAAAACGTCTGATCTCCTGGATTATTTGAATAAAGAATTTCAGTTTGAAGAAGTTCTTCAGGATGGATTGTATTTTCAAAATTGGCATCGAACTCTGTATAATCCGCGTGCGGATCTTCTAATTGGAGCATCTTTCATTGATGAACACATCCATAAAATGTACGACCTTCTTAACGACAATTGGGTTGAGAAGATTCTCAACAATGATCAAAAGCTGAAAGTAAGTGTTGTCCATCCAAAGGCGTATCACAATGTTGCTAACTTGAGAATCCAATAATTTTTCACCAACTAGATAGTTATTCGAAGAGCATATTCTTAGATTAGCCGTTGTTTTTCCCTTAAAGAAGTGGTAACTCGGCCGCATAGCTCAGTCGGTAGGGGTTTTGGTGATCTGTCAGATCGCCCACAGGTTCGAACCCACCAGGAGTACTTATATTTGTAACATCAGAGAAAATGTTATTTTGAGTTCCTCCTCCTTTAAACGAACTTTGAGGTCACCTAAATAGAATGATCTCGGATTATGTGGCATATTTTTCCCGATTTTTCTATAAATTGGTGGTTTGAAAGAAGCTGTCTCTGAAAGCAGATTCTGAAATTTCTAGCACTCTCTGGAGCCTGAGAGTCTGGAATTCTTTCTCTGAAAATCTGGCCCGCCCCTTGATTTTCAATGCATTGCCGCAGAAATAGCAACTTTCAGATGGTGGTTTCCAAGCTCCCAGGCTCCAGTGAGGGCTAGGAATTTCGGAAACCACTCACAGGGACAACAACTTTCAAACCACCAATAAAAAAAAATAATATAATAGAAAAATCCAAGCTCACGTAAAAAAAGTATGCCATTGTTGAGCGCACATTATAGTAATAAATACAATCATCTTTCCGTTTTTAGAATCTCCGAACAAGTCTCCTACAAATGCTCACTTTTACAAAACAATTCAGTTCTGCGAAATATTATATGGATTCAGTCATGGCACATTCGCAAACACAATATCATCTTGATGTTCTTATGGATTTTTTAATTGATGTTAAACGACTTCATTGGTATGCAGTGAATTCAGAGAACTTTAAAAGATGCTTGTCGTTCAACGGACAAATTTATCATGAACGTTTTGATATTTTTTTGAATGATGAAAAATGGAAAGTGGACCAATATTATGAAGTTATCGGGAACTTTTCTGCAGTTTTGGATGAATATGATGAGGATGGATCAATACTTCATAGTTTGGAACCAATTCAAAAGCTTCATATTAGTGAACTAAGGGAAATCGTCAAACATTGGAACGATACCAAATCTTTCGAGTTTGGAAAAATTGAGACAATACTGACGAATTCTAGCTGTGTTGAACTGTTTTCTGCACTTTCAAACTATTCATCATATGACGTCCACTCTTTTCTCCAAGACGTTAAAGTATCCATGGATGACATAAAACGCTGGATTTCGTGGGATAAGGATTCTTGTGATGCTTGGGTACCAATAGAAATCGGGAACTTTTCGGTGAGCTCTTACTTTCTTAAAACGCCTTGAAACTTCCAATTTCTAGACCTACAACCTCTTCCCCCAAACAGTCAAACGCCTTTCTGACGCTCATCTCCATTTGAATTTTAAGGAATTTTTCGCAAAAATCAAAGCTTTTCGTGAAGAATTACAAATTTTGGAATCTGTCAAAGTGTCCAAGCCAGGATTGTTAGTTCAAAATCAGCATCGCCAGTTTCAAGTTCAAGACGACTTGATGGAAGTCGGTAACATCTTCAGAACCCTCCATAACATTCGGGAGATTCATCAGAAGATTGATGATTTGAAGACGATTTTGGAAGTTGGAGATCTTGCAGTTAAGAAGATAGAAGAAGTGAAGCATCCTAGACATAAAGTGATTCTCGATTCGGCATGGAAAGATTGGGGGAATATGAAAGAGGATTTGGAAAGAATTCAGAAGAGCGTGGAAGAAGTTGTCAGGATTTTTGATGTAAGAATTGTTTTTGAATTTTTGGATTTTTTTCCCTAAAATCGCCTATATTTCCAGACCACCCCCGAAACTTCACTGAAAGACATTGGAAAAAAGTATATTGCCATCTCAAATATCCGGTTTACCAAGGATATATACCACAAGCCGTACTTCAATTTTGGAGAGAAACACGATTCCCTTCGACTTCTTGATTTATCGGATTCAAATATTCAAAAGCTGAGCAATTCACTTGAGTCATTGAGAAAACCAATGAATATTGATTGGGCATGGGTTGGTGATCGGTTTGGGAACCTGGCTTTGTACCTGGAGAATGTGGAGAAAGCGATGGAGGAGTTTCATAAATTGAGTGAGTTGTAATATTCATGCTCCTAGTTTGGTAACGTTTGAACACCCCCACTCTCCTCACTGTCCTACACACCACGTATGGCAGAAGAACGCGGTGGCCGTGTGGTTAGCGCTTTTGTTTTTCATTCAATAGGGGTCGGGTTCGATTCTTTTCGGGGTTAGAATGTTTTTTCTTTTTTTTTAAAGTTTGTTTCGTCATTCTTGCTGTATTGTGCAACCAAATCTGAGATGAGAGATAGATATGTGGGGGGTTTGAACCTAATTTCAACGTAACACACTAATGGATTACTGTAGTTTTGAAAAGTGCTTCAATTTACTGTATTATGGGAATCAGTATGAAAGCAAGTGCTGGCCGAAGATCCGACATCTTGACAGCCCCGATATCTCACCACGAAAACTACCGTATAAATGTTTGTTGCTACCGTAAGAAATTTTGAAAATGTTTATTTATTTATCGAGTTTCATCAATCGATTTCCAACGAATATTTATTTTTCTTTCTGAAGAAAAGCTAGAAAAATCATTGAAAATCGATTAAAATTGATGAAATTCAATTAATCTTACGATAGTATTTAGGTTTATACGGTAGTTTTCGTGGTGAGATATCGGGACCGCCAAGTTGTCACCCAAGCTGCCTCATTCTTCCTATTGAAAAACTAGTTTCTTCCAGAAGCTCCACTCAGACGACACTCGAAATGGCTAGCTTGGAAGGAGCAAAAGACAAAGAATGAGAAGTTGAAGGCTCAATCATGGACATATTATCTCATCCAAAAGTAAGATTTGACTTTTTCAGAACTTTTTTTGTTATCCGGTATATGCACAGAAAGAGGCGTTTCAAGCTCCGCCCCTTTTTCTTGTAACCCAAAAATTTGAGTTTTCTGTGACGGATTTTCTGCTGAAAGGGCGGAATTTTTTGTATTCGTACCTCGTACGAGATAAAATTGAAAAGATAATAAAAATTTTTTTCATATTCAGATCACGCGAGTTTGGTGTCGGAGCGGTACTTTTGGGAGCCCAAATTGGATTGCTCATTTATTTTATGAGATGAACAGGGATCCAGATCACCTATTTACCGTTCAAAAAGAAAGAAGATCTTTTTTCTGAACTACCTAATTAACAGTAACTCGTTTTATGTCCTTTTAACAAAATTATTGATTATTGATGTTTTTTTCTTCATGTATGTATTTCAAAATAATTATATAAAAAATAATATGAACCTCGCGAACTCCTAAATGATTTTTTAGCCGTTTTTCCCATTTCTAAAAACTTTTTTTCATTTTTCGCTTTCTCCATTTTTTGGAGAATTTTTTATTCGGTGAGCCCTCCATTCTTCTTTCATAATCTTCAAAAATTCCCCTCGCAGAAAGATAATGTTGCTGATATTATCAACGTTTTTCAACGTTCTCTTCATCGTATCTCTTCCAATTCTTTTTTTGTGCTCCAAGGTATTTTTTTATAGATAGAATCCATTTTCATTGATTTTCACCATAGAAAAAGAAAACGCCAGCTCAAAAACTGGATAGATCTGAGCACAGTACGAGAGACACAAAAATGACGAATACAGATGATTCTACGGATGGGAAGAGTCCAGCTGCACCGACTCCAGTGGCACCTGCACCGGCACCAGTTGCTCCGGCTAAGCCTGCCATGGCTGGTATGTGGGTGGGGCAACAAAACGGCGAGAGAGGCGCAGTGATCTGTAACCCTTCCATGCCAGTTGATGAGAATGGCGCCATGGCTTAGTGGTGAACGCGCTTGTTTTTGAATCTCATGACCCGAGTTCGATTCCGTGAGGTGTCAAATCTTTTTTTAAACATTTTTTCAAATTTCTAAATTCTCAAAATATGAATTCCAGCCACCCACGATCCCAATTACCAAACCCTTGCTGGATTGGACAACAATGTCTTTGGAACGAAGAATGGTCCAGCTGATCCTGCTCCCATAGCCCCACCGGCGAAACCTCAAATGGCTGCGACTCATGATCCAAATTATCAAACATTGGCTGGATTGAATAATGACGTTTTTGCAAAGAATCCTCAAGTGGGAGGAGCCGGTGGAGCAGGACCAGCAGCTCCACCAGATCAGAATGCGAAAGCAGCGACTCATGATCCTAATTATCAGACCCTAGCCGGTCTAAATAATAATGTATTTGATAAGAAAGATGGTGGTCCGGCTCCTGGACTTGCTCCAACTGCTGGAAGACCCATGGCTCCAGCAGATAGAAACGCGAGAGCAGGAACTCAGGATCCCAATTATCAGACCTTGGCGGCAGTTGGTGGAGACGTTTTTGGAGCGGATAAGAAGGCAACAGGTGGAGGAGGAAGACCAATTCAACCAGCTAATAAGGCAAGTTTCGGAGATTCCCCCCTGGTAAATTTTTAGGTTTAGAACCAAAAAGCGGCAACTCTAGACCCAAATTATCAGACGTTGGCGGCAGTTGGTGGAGACGTTTTTGGCGCGGATAAGAAGGTTGGAGGTGGAGAGAATAGAAAACCGATTCAACCGGTTAACAAGGTTTTGAGTTTCTTGGGACTATGAGAAATGTGAAATAGTGAATTGCAGAACCAAAAAGCGGCAACAATGGATCCGAACTATCAGACGTTGGCTGCAGTGGCCGGCGATGTTTTTGGGGCGGATAAGAAGAGGAAATGAGGAAGAGGAATTACAAAAGAAATGATAAATATTAATAAAGTAAAAATTGAAAGAGCTTCATTGTGCTTAAAAATCGTAGTACGGGTCTCGACACGAAAATCTAATTTGACAGTAACTCGAGGATAAACTTCGCTCTCTAGTATTCCTTGCCACACCGCGCAGATAAGGGCGAAAGGTAGCATTGTCGTTTCTTGCACCTGTGGCTCAGTCGGTAGTACAGGCGGCCTCGGAACTGCGACAGGTGAGTTCGACCCCCAAGGACGGCAATCTTTTTGTTTTTTTTTGAATTATGGTAAACTGACTGCATACACCAAATCTGACGGAATTTTGCGTATTTTCTACCTTAGGTAACTTTCCCCGATGAATCTAGCCCAATCCCTCTGTTTACAACAACAAAAAACAAAAGCTGACAGATTTAGAACCAGTTCTTTTCATGCGATTATTATTTTTTATTCTCCATAAAATCGCAATCCTAGCAGAACCAAAACTATATATGTTCACAAAAAAAACAGGAAGCTGCTCACAGGAATAAAGCAAAAAAAACCTTTTTTGTCGTCCTTCTCATTTTATTTTATTTTTTCGCCCCAATCTTCCTTTTCATAGTGTGTCGAACCGGAAAACAGGGAATAAAATGAGTGTCTTCTTTCTTCTTTTCACCTCTTTTCTCCTCCTCCTCCTCCATCTTCTTCTTCTTCTCCAGAATGACTCCATCTGTGTCTTCCCTTTTTTTCGGAAAGGACCGCCCGTGACTCCGCCCACTTTGGCTTCTCTATCGGGAGCACCTGCCCCTTCTTGTGTCGAGTCATTTCATATATCCCCCCTCCTCCTTTCGACTTCTTCTTCCCGTCCCATAAATGTATCTATTCGCACTTCTTTGTGGAGTATTGTTAGTTTTTAAGCAGGGTGAGTTGGAAAGAGATGGGGCTGGCACACAAGGGAAAAGATGACAAATCAAATTTTGTTGGGGAGGAATATACTGGAGATATTATTAGTTAACAATAAGTTCGTAACGAGTCGAGAGAATCCTTCTCGACAACATCTTCGCGCCTTCAAAAAGTGTTTCATTCTTTTTGAAGACGACGATGGAGACTTCTTCTTCTCCGACGTCTTCTTCTATTTTAGTGTTGCCCACTATTTTGTGTCACCTTTTTGATGGTTAGTTTTCATTTATTTGAGGTTTCGGATATTCGAAAAATAGGACTCTTGGGAAACCTAGGCCCAAAAAGTCATAATTTTACCAAATTTTTTTTTGCAAAAAAAATGTTTTTCTGCTTTAAAAAATCTGTGAAAATGCCTGATGAAACCGCCGAAAACAGTTTTCTATCGAAAATAAAATTTTCTGAGGAGCATCGTTTTTTTTGTAGGTATCGGGTGCCGATTTTGTCAAATTTCCATGCAAAATCAATATTTTTTCAAATATTTGTCACAATTTTACGATTTCACCTACTTTTATCGCAAAAATATTCACAAAAACCGTTCAAACCGGCGAAACGCGAAATGTGTCGTAAGCTTAAATGCCGTGTCTGCGTCTAATTTACACGCTCACGTGAAATCACACGAAAAAAAAAATAGAAAATTCCAAAAGACACAAAGTTGTTTATTGCAAAAAAACATCATTATTCATGCAAAGTACGACACCGAAATAGCAAAATTGTATAGTTCGTAACGCAAAAAAAATCAAATCCAGCAAAATCTGTCGATTAGAATTTTTGTCAAAGTCCGTTTCCGATTCGAAACGCCCTTTTTGTTGTTTCTTTCTCCCGGATAGATGACATCCCAAGAAAATCGGAGACCGCTAAACGATGATGAATGATTCACTTGCTTTTTGTCCTGGAAGGAAAAAAACAAAAATATTGAAAACGGAGGAATTGATACCTATGGGAAAATGTAGTGTTGTTTTGAAATACATGCCACTTTATTGGAGGTTTTGTAGCCCGATCAGGTAAAAAACTGGTTGGATAAAAAATGTTTTTGATCATAACAAAAATAACATGACCAGCGGTCATCTAGTATTTCAAAAAATGAAAAAAAAAGTTTTTGGAGTCCAATAGAGTAATCATTCCAGCATGTTCTCGTGGTGCACCTCCCACCATCCAGCAGCCATCGATGTCAAGTGCAGTGGCACTTTTGGGTCAAGATGTAGATTTTACGTGTATTGTGAACGATCTTGGAAGTCATATGGTTAGTTTTCACAGTAGCCGTACAGCATGCTGACGCGTTGCTCCAAAAAAGAGAGCCCTCATTCTCGAAAGAACATGTCAACCGATCCATTATATAGGTAGCATTTGTCAAAGCGGACACACCACCCCGATTGCTGTCGTTCGATGAAAAAGTGTTTCGAAGGAGGGACAAGTACGAATTGAAGCCACGCATTGGAGATCTTCATAATGAATGGGTGCTCACCATCAAGAATGTTCAGGTTTGTGTGGTGCCACTCTATTAGAGGGAATCCCCTGATTGCAGGAATCCGACAAAGGCAACTACTCATGCCAAATCAACACGGAGCCCATCATTTTATCCACTGGAGAGCTCGATGTGAAAGGTGACGTCTCGTATAGTTTCTCATTGAGAACGAGTTCCCTTTAAATGACTTTTCCTTCGCCTTTTGCTTCTTTTATTTCACTTACTAAATCCTAATCCGTTTGCTTCTTCTTCTTCTCTTCTTTCCCAACCCGAGATAAAGAGTGCGGATGGGAAAGGAGTGTGAAAATAGATTTGTATGCAAATGAGAAGAATCTTCCCCTCCCCCCTGGTTTTCTCGCGGTTTTTTTTTGAATTGCTTTCGGTGTGAAAATGGTGGAAAATAATGGTAGGAGAGGGGTCAATGTCAACGCCCTCTGACTGTTCAACGGTTGTTGCACGTATGGCTCAACTGGTTGCACTGCTGTTTTTGAATCAGTCAACGCGGGTTCGAACCCCACAGGGGTCAAATCTTTTTTTCTTTTTTCTTTGACCCGTTTTGACTCTAAATCACCGCACCGTTTAGTACCAAAAGAGCTCAACAATGTGTTCCGTTCACCTTTTAATTATGTTTCCCTCACGGATTGAAAACGGAAAGAAACGGAAGTCAGAAAAGGGTAATTAAAGAGAGAGAGAAATATGGGAGGGTGACAAGCATTCAGAAGAACACAATAGGGAAACGGAACACCTTATTAGATAATTAGGTTGTTGTGTGGTGCCAAGTTCTAAGGGGATTCGAATTACATGAAAAGAAAACAATAGGTAATGGCGGTTTTGAAGTTTTGTTTCCCGAAATTTTGTCTCCAAACAGGGAGAAGTCATAGAGATGAAAGGAAAAAGAAAAAAAAGATTTGGTCCACGTGGGGATCGAACCCGCGTTGACTGATTCAAAAGCGGCAACGCAACCTGTTGAGCCACATGTGCAACGCTCGAAATACAGTCAGAGAGCGTTCACATTCTTCTTGTTTTTGGCCCCTCGTGTATCATTTTCCCACCGAAAGGTGGTGAAGAATTATGAACATTGATGTAGAATAGGGAGCAGAATCTAGGTAAAACAACTGAAATTTGATACTTTTTGATGAAATAAAACATAAGTACACACAAAACAGAATTTCGAAGAAGAAGAGTCTCAAATCGGGGGGTTTGGGACTTTTAGGAAGCCTTTTTTGACCGATGATCTGTCTGCAAAATGATTACCCAGCCGCGCCTCCGGCGCTTCAGCAGAAATCCAAAATCGCATAGTTTCGAGAATCTTCTGTGGTCGATTTTCAGCCAGTTTCAGACAAGTTTTCGGCAAATACTCAACTGCTATGGGGGTGATCAACTGCTATGTTGTAACTGCTAGTGTCTCAACTGCTATATTTGGCTCTTCTGCTATGGATCAGCTGCTACAGCCATAGCAGTTGAGACATCAAAAGTGGCGAAAATAGCAGTTGATCCATAGCAGAAAAACCGAATATAGCAGTTGAGACAATAGCAGTTAAATAATAGCAGTTGAGTATCTACCCAGATTTTTCGATATTTTGAACAAATTCTAAGGCTCATTTCAAGCCATACATCGAAATTTGAAACTAGTTCTCTGCTTAGTCTGAGCAATTCTTGGGGCATCTTTTCCCTATACTCGTGTCATTTTTTCATCTTCTGATCCTTTTTCAGTGCCACCAATCGTCTCACGCAGTACACCGGCCGCCGTTGAAGTTCGCGAGGGGAACAACGTGAGTCTGACATGCAAAGCAGACGGAAATCCGACTCCCACAGTCATCTGGAGACGTCAGGATCGTCAAATAATCCGATACAACGGTGCCACGGGATTCGGAGGTTCGTGTCCTTTTGGGAGAGGTTATTTGATATCTGGAAGAGACGGGGAGGGAGGTTTTCTCACCCAGACAAACTTTATAAATTTTGAGGATAGAGAGAAATTCTCAAATAAAAGAGCACAACGTACTTTCTCTACAAACTTTTGCTCTCTCTCTCTCATTTGCACATAATCAAATCTTTGTCTACCCGAATACTATTTCCGACTACTTGATTAGTCTCCTCTTCTGGAGTAATTAGCTTCTTTCTTCTTCTGGAGAGAACAATTATAAGTGCCGAAAGGGGAAGAAAAGAGCAACAATATTTCCGCTTTTGATGTCCACAAAAAAGCATCTGGACACAGTCTATACAGAAAAAAAAGGGAAAATGACAGCAGCTGGTTTTGGGGGAAAGCGGAACAATGAGGACTACCTGTTTAGGGTTCATTGCGCAATATGGCTAATTGAGGGGAAATGGAAATGATACAAGGGGGTTTGAACCCGTGACTCTTAGAGTGAAGAGGGAGAGCGTTACCACTGCGCCACGCGGCCGGAAAGCCTGGGAGTTTCAGTTTCCTTTCGCAGCGAAGCGGTTACTCATTAACAAAAAAGCCACTTTCGTTCATTTTTGGCTCCGCGTCACTAAGAATCATGCCAATTCGCAGCTGCGACGTTTCGCAACTACGGGATTTTGCAACTTGACATTTCGCAACTGACTTTGGCAAGTAAAATTTACTTGTACTTCAGCCAAAATGTATAAACACATTCTAGACTTATCTGGCGATCTCAATGTTCACATATATCTTATTTCTGGCGTGACCCTCCTATCCTGCGTCTGCCTCCTATGTCGTTTTGTACGTTGCGAGATGTCAAGTTACGAAATGTCGTAGTTGCGAAATCGACGTTAGTTGCGAATTGGCAAGTTGCCAAGTGACGCAAAGTGAACTTTTGTACGTTTTTTCAAAAGGTTTCATTCGCTGGTTCTGTCTTACTGTAGGGTCGCATGCCAACTGCGTGGCGACTCAGCGATACGTAGGCATTTTTCTCATTTTGTTGAAAAAAATTTGATCGGAAGTTATTACTGAAAAGTGCTCTGAAAACATGGTGAGCGCTCCTTCGGCTTGAGCGCAGCTCACTGTCAGATTTTAACGACGCAACATGAAATTTGTAAAAGTCCGTGTGAGATGGAGCGTAGAAACCGAGAAAAAAATTGTACGTACAAAAAAATTTACCGTGGTGGCGCGGAGCCCAATTTTTATGATAGTTCAATTCATTAATGGGTCACAAAAATTAAACTAAAGCGCCTTTTTCATTCTTGGAAAACCACATTACCACCCTCCTCCTACAGTTAGTTTCCTCACTTTCCCACGATTACCCTCTTGTAAAAGCAAACATTACCCAACAACAATAATAATAACAGCTGAATCAAAATGCGCGAACATTTGTGTGTCAAGAGTGCTAATTGAGTGGATAAATGACTAGAGAGAGTGAGAGTCTAATGGGATTGGAGCATATGGTATTGGGAAAGAAAGCTCATGCGAGGAAGATGAAGATGAAGATGAAGAAGTCAGAATAACTATGAAGTAATTAGATGTTGGAGGGAAGGGAATGCTCATAATAATTTAGTTAATGTAACCGAGGAGCTTAAGGGAGAGCTTGTTTGTCACGGATTATCATTAGGCTAGGGGAAGATTCTGAATCTTGGAATCAAGGAAGTGACTGAATTGTCGTGAAGTATGATGTAGCCAATAGAACCATCACCTCGAACTTGGAAATTTTCAGCCAGCGTCTTCCATGGACCAGTTCTTCACCTCACCAAAGTGTCCAGAAAACATATGAGTGAATATGTATGTGTCGCCAGTAATGGAATCCCGCCAGATGAGTCGTGGACTGTCAAGCTATTGGTTACATGTAAGTTATAGGCGAGGTCCAAAATTTTTTATTGTTGATTTTTTTTGGCTCATTTTTGAAGGGGAGAAGTTGAAAGTTAAAACGAACCTGTTCACGAAAAATGAGAAAAAAAAATGAAAAGGATGTCTTAAGGCCTCTCGATTGGACGAAATTTTTTTCAAGATAAGTCAGTAAGCAGTAGTAATTTTTTGAGCAGAACGGAGCTCATTTGAAATTCAGGTATTAGATTTCTTTTGTGGGTTCGAGCCCATGAACAGCCTGAAGATTCATAGCGCTACGACTCTTTCTGTCCTTAATAGCCGGTGGTTGTTCCCAGTATTCTCAGACTCATTTTTCTTGGACCCAGGTTTCCAGAATGATCCGAAATCATACTTGTACAAATTGGGCCCGGCCCGGTAAGGCCCGAAGGCCCAGGCCTGTTGAAAATTCCAGAGCTCGGTGCTGAAAAATATTACCTTTTTTGGAAATTTTTTTCCAAAATTTCAGCTTTTTTATTCAAAATTAAGGAATTTGTTGATCATTTTCAGTTTGAAGATGTTTTATTACTAAAAAATGCCTGCTTAACAAAAAATTCATCGCAAAAATTCAATTTTGGAAGAACGCGCGAAAAAATTCCGAAATGGGTCCGGCCCGCGACAACTATGTCTGAAATATTTTTTCCGTCGAAAATCAATTTCCAGCTCTTTGTTCAGAATCGTATAGAAATGAAGAAATCGCTAATCTTCATTTTATTTGTCATCCAGACTTCCAGATATTTCGAAATTCCCCAAACTGACTAATACAAAAATACTCACCACTTCATCTCACTTCTCACTATTTCCTCCTATTTCTTTCGTAACAACTTGTTTATTTTTTGTTTCCTTCTCACCCTCTTTTCTATTTTAAAAGATCTCTTTTTCTCCTTTTTCCAATTTTAAAACGAGACTTCCATCATCATTTTATCCCCCAAAAGGAGTAGAAGAAACTTGCGAAGAGTTTGTTTGTCGTGAACAAATTTTATTCATGAAATTCAAATTGGAAAAAAGAAGATAGAAGAGGAAACTGAACTCTATTACAACGGCATGTTTTAGTTCTCCTCTGGTTCAAGCCCAGTCAGAAGTTGTTCAAGCAAGTGTTGGATCGATGGCAAGGATGGTTTGCACCACAGAAGCATGGCCGAGGCCAGAAATGGGATGGGAGAAGGATGGGGAGCCGATTTATGAGAGTAATAATGTGGCGATGGTGAGTCTTGGAAGAAAAAAAAGGAAAAAAAGGAATTGGCACGGGTAGGAATTGAACCCGCGACCGATATTTCTGAAGCAAGTGCGCTAACCGCTACACCACACGGTCTCCCAGGATGGAAATAAGAACGCGATGAGTTGGAATCGCTAAAACGTCAAAAAATAATATACATTTTTCGCGTGTTCAATTGTTGATTGAAAATGAGGTTTAAATGATTTCACGATACTTTAGACCAAAAAAGTGTTAGGCTCGGCTCGTAGGGTTACTGTTTGGCTTTATTTTGAGTGGTCATTCTAGTGATTTCGTGCGATTCTGACCGAGTTATCACAAAAAAGCTTGAAAATCGGAAAACATAGGATACGAAAACGATGATAACTCGGTCAGATTAGCACGAAATAGGTCAAGAAACCACTCAAAATGTAGCCAGAAAGAAATACTATAGAACGCGTTTGCCACCTATTTGAGTTAATTATCAGTGATCTGAAAAATTGAGATCATAGGAAAAAAATGGAGATTTTCAGTTTATATTTTCGAACAATGATAA